TCCCACGCATATCCCACATCCGTATGTCCGTGTCTTCACCGCCCAGGGCCCTTTTGGAGACTGTGGGCCCCTGGGCAATTGCCCAATCGCCCATATGGTTAATCCGGCTTTGGTTCTCCCCCATGTTTGTTATGTGTGTGTAAAAAGAAAGGGTGCACTGCAAAAACTGTCCATCTTACCAAGTTTTAAAATCTTATATCCAGCCAAAAAGTCTTTTTGATCTTGTTTTGAGACTGATTTACAAAACAAAGACTGATTGTGTAAGAATAATAATCTTGTTTTCAGAATGTGTAAGATCATTTGTCTTGTTAGTCTGAAAATTTGACACAAATTAAGTGAAAATTTTCTGCCAATGGAGTAAGAAAATATTACTTGGTAAGATTCTTGAAACAAGAAAAATTGAGTCAAATCAAGTATTTTAAGAATTTTACCAAGTACAATTTTTTCACTCCATTGGCAGAAGATTTTGAATTAATGTGAGTCAAATTTTCAGGCTAACAAGACAAATAATCTTACACATTCTGAAAACAAGATTATTATTATTCTTACGCAATCAGTTCTTGTTTAGTAAATCAGTCTCAAAACAAGATTAAAAAGACTTTTTGGCTGGATATAAGATTTTAAAACTTGGTTAGGTGAATATTTTTTGCAGTGTGTTGTTAACTGCAAGTTCCTAGTCTGTGAATGTTCACTGACAATGGCAATAAAACGGATTCTGATTCTGAACAACAACGATAATAATAATCATACAGGATTTTCACATGGTGCATTAATACATTTCTGTACTGCAATCTCAGATCTTTTTTTTATTATTTACATGAAAAGATTTGAACTTGAATTTGAATCTGGCACTAAACCACCAGAATCTTTGCTGAGGTGCAACAAATGATGTATGAATAAAGTTCACCTTCCTGAGATGATGAGGTATCAGGAGACAGATTATGACTCTGACAGAAGCAGCTAAACACAACCTGCCTTCCTCTGTCACGTTTTGTTCCTGTTTGCCTGTCGCCATGACAACCACTTCTTTAGCCAAACCTTTAAAGGGACTATAAAGTCGGGGCAAAACACAAAGCGAGCAACCATAAGCAAGAATATATATATATATATATATATATATATATAATAGAATAGAATAGGTAATGGAAAACAAATATTGCTTTGGTGCAACATGCCGGTCCAACACCGATTCCTTCTAGCTCCAGGCTTGACAAATTAATCCACTTCTCCTGAATCTGCTCCTCTCCCTCTGGAGTGTGTTTGGCAGGCGAAGGAAACAAATGATATGTGAGCTGAGCCATAAGCCTCCCCGCTGACTCGGACTCCCCTGTTCCCTACATGATCACTGCACCAGGCAGGCAGCGAGCCACAAACCACACAGCAAGTGTGCAGGTTTACGCAGCTACCCACAACTTCAAGAGTTATTAATGAAGTCAGCCTTTTCGTCAGAGCTTCAGTTTTCTCACAACATCTGAATATGAGGACAGCCTCGGGCATAAAGGCACAAGCTCATCAAATCCTGTGTAATTTGAAAACCCTGAGGTAAAAAAAATTTAAATAAGGCTGGGGTTTAATTGCACAATGTTGTTAAATGTAATTATAGTGTTTTAAAACACGTATAGAGAGAATACATCCTCCAAATTTCCCCCTCCCGCTGTAGAAAAGTTACATCAGGACACCGCCCCCCCGACTCTCCCACAGCTTTAATAACTGTAGTTTTTTCACACCCAAGTTGTCGGAGAAATTATTTTTTTTATGTATTGTTACCCACAGAGATGATAAAAAGAGACATGGATGTTCGTTTAGTCATAAATCCATCTTGCTAATGTAACAGCCGTCTACTGCTCTGATGATGAAGATGAGCGTGCAGCGATGAAGATGAGCGCGCGCAGCAGAGCAGAAGCTGATAAGTTCAGTAGGCAGAAGCTCATTGTATGGCAAGCAGACATTAAAGCAAAAACGCTGGGTTTGATTAAGATTACAGTTTTCTGTAAAAAAAAAAAAAAACTTTAAAAATTACATTATCTTTACTTTTTATGATAACTGTCTACTGTGAGATATACCGTTACCATGAAGGAATTCAATTTATACTGTGATGTGAATTTGAGGTCGCCCAGCCCTATATATATACATATATATATATACATACAGGTGCTGGTCATAAAATTCCCTCAGCGTTTTGTTCTCTGCCGAGAGTGTTGTTACCTGCTCCTGGCTAAACTCCAGGGACTCCCTCAGCGACTGRAACTCYCTGTGAAGAACTTCTACCAGGGCGAGTCGGGCATCTAAGCTAGTTAGCTTTTTATCAATGGAGTCCAGAACCTCCGTGAAGCTTTTTTCTGGAGAAGCAGTGGAGGTACTGGCCGAGCTCTCTGAACGCGTGCATTTAGACACTGGTGTGGCCGTGTTTGAGGCAGTGTTTGTTTTTTTCTTACCCATTACGAATTTATCAAAACACGCGTGGTGCAGCAATACATGTATCAGCATTTTCAACACAGTGCTTTAGGGTCAACACAATATGTATGGAGCAATACAGATTTTAAAATGTATTTTATCAACTTGTTTTCTGAAGATGCTCTGTGTTGAAGGCTCAGTAGATCTGTGTTCGACTAATCCACCTAGGCTGCATTGTCAAACACAGATCCACTGAGAAACTTGCTGTTGTAGAAATATTTAATTTAAAAACTGTACTTTTGAGTTTAAGCAAATGTTGCGACTTTAAAGTGCCTTTCTATCCAACCAAGATACTCAAGGTGATTTACACTACAATCTGTGTCCTCATTTACTCATTCATACAGCACTCTACTACATCTCACTACAAAGCTAATAAATAAATCAATATATAGACACTAATCAGTATCGTACACTGATGGGACACACGTCAGAGACAGTGGGGGACACTTCCACATGTAACTGAATAGTGGTGGAATCGAACCGCCATCTCTCACATTAGAAGATCGACCAATCAGCCACAGCCACCCCACTATTACATGATGTCAAGCTTGAGGAATTGCTATGAAAGCATTTTGGATGGAGTTGGGTGTTGAGTATTTTGACTGCTTAAAATGTATTGTTCTCAAAAAGTTCTCTGCAATTTAGTCTGTGCAGCAGTAGTGGAAAATGCAGAACAAGAAAAGTGTGTGTCACTGTGTCAGATTTTCACATTTAAAGCTTCAGGCATCCAAATGGAAATAATTACAAATTATACTGGTTGTTACTGTTTTACAATGACATTTCCATGTATTGCTGGGTTGAAGCGGCAAGATAATTGTGCTGATTTTTGGACAGATTTTGCCCTTCAGACAATCTTAAGGTCGTTCCGATTATCGTGATGACTAAAGATAATTTTAGGAGATATTCCTGCTGTGCGTGGTAAGTCAAGAGTGATCTAGTCGGCTCAGAAGGCCATCGGGACCACACCAACTACAAATCGGGGATATTCATAATGTTGGATTGTCTTGGCCCAACATCCCAGCGCGTGTGGTATCCCCTGAGGACAAACGAGCTTCAGCCTTTTTAATGTGGCGTGTAGCCAATCAGAAAGTGAGGTAATATAAAACAAGGAGGGGAGTCCAAAATACAGAAAAACAAAACAAAAAAAATCTTCCATGGCTCACCCAGGGCCTGAAATTCACTGCAGGATTGCAGGTAATGCACATATTATGATCAATCCCTGCAAATCTTGTTTTTATGGCGCGGGAAGTTCCTGCATACAATAAATTACAGTGATGTGTAACAACGTGGGCATTAGCATGGCACTATTTTCAGATGATGCTCTGTTATGAATAAACCAGCCTTAACGACTTCGGTCCATTCAGAAGACACATGGAGGCAGAGAGAGACAAGTTGAAAGCAGCATATTAATCTGATAGGTTTTATGCTGATTAGACCTGTAGTCTCCCTCATAAGTAATACCCCCCACCCCCCACCTCCACCCAAATGTATAAATGCCCCCACTATGAAACATGTAAGGGGGGATATCCTCCAAATTTCAAAAGTGAATTTCAGGCACTGTCACCAGATAGTCCACTGAATGGTGGAGACGTCTTTTTGAATTGCTTTTTTCTCTGTTAAAATAGTCTACTATTATGGGGATTGCTTCTTCTTCATCTGAAATGTTTATGTACTCTGAACTCACGTTTGATCTTGAGAGGTCTCGCAAGATTTCCTGTCTGAATGTTCATGAGATCTCCCGTAATTTCAAGTATTCTCAAAAGAGTTTTCCATGAAAGTTTGTGAGTGAAACTGTTCATATGTGGTGTATTGTATTTACTGTGTGGTTGTACACCACACACTGCAGGACCAAATCTGTTATATCTATGAGTTTATATCATCATGAGTGGGTTCTCTTAGTCTTTGAAAATTGCCCAACAATTTTAAAATCTTGCTGTGTGAACAAAGAATAAGAAGAGGCTAAAATACAGGCTGCAATCCAAAGCTTTTACAGTATTTCTACATCACCTCTCCTTCTGTCCCCATAAGAAAAATTCTTCTTTGGGTTGGGACATTATTAATGGATTACTGCCTCCTAATACATTTGTGAGAGGAGTATAAAGTATTGCCTGTGGCAGAGTGAGCCACACAAAAACCCGGATTTGTGTTTTGAGAGCTGAGGGTTAGAGTTCTACCCGAGAACTCATAGTTGGCTCAGAAACATGACAATCATACTGTGCAACGACACTGCAGAAAAATGCTAATGGAAAAGAAAAAAAACCTTCTAGTGTGGATTCTCAACATGCATACTGTGAAATGGTGAACAGCCTTGCTAAAAGCTCAGGAAAAGTAATAAAACAGCAGAAGTGCAGGAGACTGACAGGAGCAGTGCAAAGTCCTGCTGATAAAAGCCAGTGCTCCTATTGATAAGGGTTTTAAGACAAACCTTGTCACACATGCTTCATTCCCACGTCACAATTGGGATCACACTTACATACAAAAACTTGACTCAGGACTCGTTATTGTCCAAAAACAGAACATGCAGTTCGAGTGAAGCTTGTTCTTACCTTGTCTGTCTCCCTCTTTCCTAGATGTTGTCCCATGCTGCTGACAGAGACTGGAAGAGACACAGAGTGGACAACCGTCAACAGAATAATCTGTGGCAATTACACACTCTATCAGAGGAAAAAAATAGGTTTCCTCTGAGGCAATGTGTGAAGCATCGCACACACTGATAATAAAAAACACAAATCAACACTGTGTGCTGTCTGATGTCTCTAAGAACCCTAGTAGAAATCAATAAAAACAAGATATTTTGTAAATAAAGTGGATTGATTGACATGGGCATCCATTATTGATCACATTAGTTAGAACTGATCTCATGGTTCACTTTAGCTGAAAGGGGAGTGAATCACTGAGCTGCTTGATGCAGAGGTCAAGCATGAAACCTGAGAAAATACTAAATGTTTTCAGAGGAAGATCTGACCATTTAACAGCTGAATCATTACACTGTTTATCTTGTCCTGTAGAGGACAAGGTGAGACTTTATTTGATGTAAACAATCAGTCAGGTAAAGGTTTTGTCTTTTCATCGGAGCTGTTGTACAGCGAGCAAGGTCTTATCAGCTCCTGACAACCTGTTCCGTTCTGAAACATGTTTGTGTTGTTACCTAATATTGTTAAAAATGTCAATGTTTGCTTTTATGAGATGTAATTTAGCCTGATTTACTCCTCATCTTATCTTGTTGGTAAAAAGCCAATATGAAAATGGAATTTAAAAGATTGCTTTTCTCTGGTAATTTTAAAGAAAAGAAGGTCAGTGCTTTTATTTTCTTTTACTTTCTGATAAATATATATAAAAATCACCAGTTCAACTACAAATCACTTCAACTCTTTAGAATAAAAACACAAGTTCCCTGCAATTTTACATGTTCTTTGTCTGTATTTAGTACAAAAAAATCATCACTGCACAGAACTGCACAATATGACAAGAGTATCTGCATTACAATAGAAATGTGTACAATATCAACATCGAAAAGAACTAAAATATACATTAAGCTATTATTAAATGCCATGTAGTCATAATTTACAGTATTTGTCCAATTGTGAGGACTCTCAATTATAAGGACGCTCACACTCAATGAAGGATGACATTGGTTGAGGTGCTAAAAATACACAGAAAGTGTTGAAATGACCAGAAGACTGAAGAAAAAGTCAGTCAGTTTTAAAAGATTCCACGCTCTAGCAATGACCATTTAAAAAATACAATTTGAATTCACTTTTAATTATTAGATTATTATTTAAACACCCCTTCCCACACACAATAAAGACCCATTGTCAGCAGTTCATGCTTTTCTCAATGCAATGTTATTTTGTCCTTTATTATATGAGTTGGTTTAGCTTAAAAAACAACCCTTTTTATAAAGTCAGTATCTTACTGGCCTGCAGCTGTTGCCATCAAATTGCATACAATTTTTGTGATGGAGTCTCTAAAAAATTTTAACATGTTCATGAGGATTTTGAACAACCTCGCCTGAGTCTCAGGACCTCACTTTCAAGCCTCAAGATAATTTCCAAAATATTTTCTCTCAAAATAGTCAAAGCTGTCATTGACATCTAAACACCACTTGGAACGCTTCACAATTTAGTTTCTGTGTTTCAAGCTGTATGTAAACTGCAGACAAAATTGCTCCAAAATTTGCCAAAAATTCATCCATCCATCTATAATCTATACCCGCTTCTTTCTTTTCATGTTCACAAGGGTCATTGGTGCCCATATCCAGCAGTCACTGTGTGACAGTGATGACAGATGTTTTCTTTTTTACGACCAGCCAGTCACAGGATTTAGAAGGGAGATGTCTGGTACTCCAGGCCTCCTTTGGTTCGACTGACTTCGCTAAAGAAAGTTCACACTGTTGTTGGACGTGGCTGGCTTGATTTGAAATTAATAAATGGTCCAAAGAATCTTAAAGACAAGCTTGTCTTTGCAAACATTTCAGGAAATGCTTTGTGAAAGAGCTGGTGGTGGAAACAAAGCTGGGATCACTTTTAGTTTTTTTGACAAGTGTGCAAAAAACAAACACTCCTACTTGCACATAGGCAATTGCAGACAATGGGCCTCATGCAAGAACATGTTCATATTCTTATACTAAATTTCTCTTACTTTTGTTTGTACGAAGGGTTCATACGAACATGTCACGTCAGATTCAACAAACTCTTCTRTCTTCAGGAAAAGTGTGTAAATGAGCGGAGTAAAAATGATGAATTACACCTGTTTGTCTCCAGCTGCTCGTGCACGAGGAGATGTTATTTACATAATTACCACCCCAAAAACACCATATAAGGATATGTTTCCTGCCCCACATACCAGGACGTGTCCATTCATGAATGACATAGCAAAGTGAAAAAGAAGAACTTTACGAGATTGGATACTGAAGTCCTGCTCTCGGAGATCGAGAAAAGAAAATCTGTCCTTTTTAGCAGTGTCATGTGGAATTAAAGGAGATGCTTAAAGGGATGAAATGTGCTGTTAAAGTCGTGTCTCCTGTGGGTCGTTACAGTCACAGAAATAAAAATCTAAATTCTATTTATCTCTCTCTAGTCCTCCGGTTTTTCTTTGGTTAAATATTTTTTTAATTTAAGTGTAAACAACTGTGTTACATAATTTTCTTTTATTCAGAAGAATGGCAGACGCGCACCCCATCCCCAACCACCACCACCAACACCACCCCCGCCTGGCCGTCTCCCCCCTCCCGGCCGTTGCAAGTGTCAGATGCAATTCTGAAAAGACGCATTTTAAAACATATCCGAACTGCAGTTAATGCATAATTTAAGTTAGTTTTTAGTTTGTGATCTTCATATTAATATTGTAGTGTTATACAAAAGCATTAACAGCCAATTTAACTTAATCTAATCAATTTACGTCGTTAAAATCTAATTCCAGTTCAAAGACAATAGCTTACTGTCAACATAATTTTGGAGTGTGATTTATTTTCAACTAGAAATATTTTCTAAATAATGAAATATAAAGTTCTAAAACCTATCTGGATAACGGCAGACTGACTGCTCGTAAAATATACGACAGGTCTGGACCACTCGTGAATTTTGTTCGTATCTGAAAAAAAATCTTAGAATATGAAAACATTGGTGAATGCCACAAATTCTCCTAAATCACTCGTACGCACAACTTAAGAACAGATCTGTGCGTATGAACAGTTTTTGCATGAGGCCCATTCTTTTCTTTTTTTTTTGATGGCCTCCCTTCTCCCTTAAAGCCATATAGACACCATTATGTTTTTCTTTGTTTTGTTTTTTTTTTGTTCTTTTTTTGTTGTTTTTTTGTGAAGAGAAAATTTAGAGAGAGAAAAACAGAAAGAGAAGTAATTAGAAAGATAGAAAGACTGAAATAGCGATTAGGAGTATATTAAATATACACCAACAAAACACACTCAGTGACCAGTCAGAACCCCCCAGATCAGAGCACCTGTTTGTGAGCAGTTGTGAACATGCGTGTATATGCAAGATTTCTCCAATGGAATATTTAATAGTGACTGTGGAGGACCGAGACCCAACCCCCAAGACAAGAGGCAGACATAGGGAAGACTAGAGCCCAAGGGCCCGAGAGGAATCCCGGGCACAGAGCCCCAAGGGACACCCGCACGGGAAGATCCGCCCACCCACCCCCAAGATCAGACCATAGGGGAGAACTGGGAGTCCCCCCAGCGACCACACGCACAGCCCCCGGAGCCAGCAGTGACAAACTCATGGGCCCCACTGGCACCCGCCATACCAAAGCAGATCCAGGAAAGGGCACAGAGGTCCGGGCCCCCAGGGCACACCCCCTCCAGGCCCAGAGGCCCCGAGCCCCAACAGGCAGTCACCAGGCCAGGCCGGCACACACCCCAGCGCCCAGCCCCAGACCCTGGGAACTCCCAGCACGCCGGCGGCCAGCCGTACACCCCACCGGGGGGCCGAGTAGCAGCGGGCCCCCAGATAAACCAGCAATAGGGGCAGCCCAGACCGCAGCCTGACAAATACCCAAACATACACAATCGCACCCCCCTTCCAACGGACTCACCACCCGTAGGAGGGGCCAAAGGGGTCGGGTGCAATGTGAAATGGGCGGCGGCCGAAGG